TATTGGTTTATTAGTTTTTAGTTGGGTTAATGGAATCTTGAAGATCCTTCTGTACAACCATAGTTCAAAAGCATGGGGCTTTGATTTGCTTTCTCCTTTCAGGGTCCATTTTTTGCACCAAGTAGAAGTACTGAGTACTCATAGCATATAGGGAGTCGTATTTTTTTGTATTTAATGTATTGTGTTGTATTTGATGGTCTCGATCACTGAGCCCATCTTCAAGAAGGCGCCTTCGCCTTTAGAATTCGATAGCGATTTTCCTGAGAATTATCCCACGATTCACTTATCATAATTCCGTGCAATGCTTGACTCGCTTAATTGTCGACTGAATTATGTAAAAATTTACTTTCTTTGTCAATGATCACGAACGTAGTTTTACTAGTGTTAAAATCAAGTCCATAGGTTGTACTTGTTTCTGTAATTTTATGCATCAAGTTCGGTAGGCCTTCTGTTGTGTCAGAGAACACTAGTTTACGCAGGTTAATACCTGACACTATTTATTGAAAGATCTTCATCTATGTCTCCTAAGGCCTCCTCAAAAATGTAGTCAGAGTACAAACTGAATATAATAATAACGATCAAAACTTTTTGAAAATCCAATGATATGAAAAAAACGTTGCAGTTTACATCTCTGCATTTAGACGCTAAAAAACACTTTTCTCTTATCGATTTAGTGCGATCCATTTGCCTCACAAATGCGATAAATCCTCGATGACTTTTGGAATTAGTTTTAACATGGGGCTTATCAAATTTATTGTACGTTAGTGTCCACAGGTGTTTGCCCCTGCTTTTTATTGTATTTGTTCTTCATCCAGTAACTTAAGTATTTCGTCCAGGTCAGTTGCTTTTCTTCCATCTTTCATTTGTCTGTGAGCTGCAGTTATTTCTTCGGGGAGTACTTCAGGTCCTGTACTATTTAAAATGATATATTCTTGTTGTGCTCTTAGATGCATTTTCTAGCTTCGTCCTTATTTTTTGTTTGCATTTATATTGTTTAACAACTATTTTCAATAGACTTCATAATCGCTACGGCTTACTAGGCCGCAGAGTTTGTTGATTTTTAGAAGGCCTGAAAAATAGTGACACTTGGTATTAAACAAGTACAACTTCTCATGAATCCGGATATAAATTAAGGGTTTTTGAATTGTCGTTTACCGCAACCGAGGTCCACTTTTTGGTCGATTCGGTTAACAAATCAACGTCGCTTAATAACGCGACGGAATTCCTGTAACCCAAATGCTAATTTATTCGCTCTATTAGTTCGAATAAAGGGATGGAGTGAGGAACAATTCTGGGTCCGACAGGGTCAGATTTTAGTTTGGCGAGTCGTCGCAAACCCCAGCTGGCGATTCGACACTCTCAAATCTCCTCGCTAATGAAACGCATCTGTCAGGCGTTAAAACGGTTAAATCCTTTAGCGGCAACCAGTGGCGTAGCGAACTGCTATGGACGTGGAGTGACTCAGGAAGGAGTTGGAAGGGAATGAATTGTAAAGTACATGGCCATAAAATAACGCAGCAGAATTATTCAAATATTTTAAATACTGAGCACGTTGCCGACGAATAGGGGAAAAGCTCGTACAGTGATAATGCTTCAATCTTAGAGAAAGAAAAATTCTAAAAGACTTCAAAAGATCAAGTCTTCAGCAAACCTTTACTGTTTATGAAACTGCAACTAGGAGTTTATTATTAGTTATTTGAGAAATTAATATAAAATACTGCTAGCATAAATTGCTGACATCAACAATAAGATTTTTTTAGGGATATCCGATTCCTTAATTTTTGCTACGCTCTATTCTTGAGGATCTTTCAAAGTTCAGTAAGGCTTCTACAGGTTCTGCAGGTTCAGAATTAGACAGTGAGTTGGCTTACAGAAATTCGATCATCCAGGTTCATAAGCACTTGTTTAATAGCCAGTGTCACAAGGCTAGAAAATGCATCTAAGAGCACAACGCCAATCTATCATTTAAGGTAACACAGGACCTGAAATAAGCAAATAGCCTGGACCAAGTATCAATGGAAATACTTAATTTACTGGATGAACCATAAATAAAATCAATAACAGGAATTTTTATCCATATATATTCATCTAAGGAAATCCCAGCGGAATGTCTAAAATCTCAGTTTAGAACGCTACAGAAAAATGGACGACGGTCTCTCAATAATCAGGCTTATCAACCTGCGTTATGCAGATAATACAATATTGTTTTTCGACAGAATGGAGGGCCTACAGAACTTGATGGATAAAATTATGGAAACAAGTAAAACCTATGGCCTTGATAATAACATTAGTAAAACTAAGTTCATGACCATCGACAAAGAATTCATTAGGGGAGCAAATTTTTACATAAATCAGGCGACAATCGAGTCACACATTGTAAGGAATTATGAGCATCGGTCTCAATTGTAATTGGAAATTGGCATTGGAGATTAGAAAGGCCAATGGGCCTTCTTGAAGATGGGATCATTGATTAGTACCATTAAAGAAAACACAATAGATTAAATACAAAAATACGACTCCTTAGATACTATGTGTTCTCCGTATTTATATATAGCGCAGAAACATGAACCCTGAAAGGAGAAAGCATATCGAAACTCCATGTTTTGGAACTATCTTGAAGATTCCATGAACCCAACTATAAATTAAGCAACTAAAAAGTGTCAAAGAAGATGAGTACAACCCCAGGGTCACATAATGAGGAACAAAGGCAGATAAGAGCTACTACAATGTATCTTTATTAAAGATAGAAGGCAAAAAAGCCCTTGGACGAAGGATTTTCTGGCTAGCCAACCCTAGAATCTGAATCGGGAAAATTACCACTCAATTGTTTCGGATAGCGACCAACAAAATCTTCTGGGATAAGTGCAATCAAAAAAAGAAACTTTTTAAAACCAAATACATTGGCAATAAAGCTTCGCGTTGCAACATCTTCTAATCGAATTTCGAATATTTGAGTTTCCTCTGGAAAGTCGCACCGGGTAGTTCGTTACAATATATTTTATATTTTTTTAAAACCAGCACACAGCTGCCTGCCTTTTCATTTTCTTTACACACTATATTATACTATATTAATGAACTATTAATTAAATTAAATGCGTAGCACTTACAAAGAATTAAAAGTTATGTATACATTGGTTAGTATATCAATATTCTCATAAATATTTGAGTAACAATGAAAACATAGGAAATTCACTTATCAGAGAAGAAGAACGTATTTCTAAGCGACTAGTTCTTTGCAACTCTAATAAATTCTCCCTCTCCCAGATTTTTCCTTGTTGAAGGGAGAATTTTCTGACATTTTATTTCAATGTAGTCGGCTTCCCTTTGCACATTACTGCGCGTTCTAAATCAATGAATGATTTTGTCTTACAGATATTACACACTATTTTAATTCTCTAATAACTCTAACACAGCAACGCTAAATATTTGAACAAACTTTGACTAGTGACCCCATACCAATGCTTTCTAAGACATATTGGAAGAAGGAAATGCATAATAGGCAGCCAAGCAACTATAAGTCGAGAGATTTCTTGTTAAGTTTCAATCAAAAAAGTGTTTTTGATAGTTTGGTGATGAGTTTATTAATATGAACTTGCCACAACCGAATAACAAACATTTTCCTAAAGATCCGCATAAACTAGAATCCAAACAGCTCAAACTTATGATTATAGTAAATAAACTGCATAGAAATGAAATCGGAAACCCGACACATTCAAAACGGGGAACGTCGATATTCAGATTGCTTTCCTCGTATGAGGCTCAGAGTGGAATTGTGGCGTAGCATCCAAAGAGCAGACACCCTCTTCGCGCATATCATATCCGATGAATTTACCCGGATCTAACTTTTTTAATATTCGGTGATGTCCTTTTAAACGTATTCGCGTCTGAATAGAAAGTGTAGCACAATGTCGGCTTAACCCACGCTCCAGGTTAAAGTTATCCCCCTTTGTGGCCTCTGTAAAGTCCGTTCCAAAATTCTTGATTGCAATGAAATTCAACTGACATACATACATCGGATTTGCTTAAATCTACAAAATATTGCAAAATACATGCCTACGCTGGTGACACACAACATTATTGTCACTTTTATACAAATGATTGTGTAATCTTTTTATTTAAAATAAGTTTCGATGTAGTATTACCATTATTAAGTCTGTGTGGATTTGTGTTCTCTGACCGCCAGTATGAGCTAGCCTATACTATATAGCGTTGTTATCTTAATTGCCGCTTTGTTGTATTATTAGTATTGTATTGTACAATTTTTTGATTGTGATTGTGTGCAAGTCATACGCATAATTTATATTTAATAATACTCTTTAGACTTAAAAAAAATATTTCAAGATCCTGACTAAATTGAAATTTGCATTTTAACTAACTAAACTAACTAAAATTAACCAAAGTCAAAAGACATAATTTAGAAGCAGAAGAAAAATTGGTAAGACAATGAAATGTAGATAAAGTATAAAATAAAAGCTCCGTCAAATACAAGGACAAATACAAAAAGGGTAGTTCGGAACTACATGATTTCGAAAAAAGTTATACCAGCAAGATTCTATCAGTAAATCAAAGTTTTGGGTCATCGTTATTGCATTTTAGTCCGAAACTTAAGCAAATGCTTTGGTAATATTTGCCTGAGGCGTAATTTCTCGTCGCTGAATATCTCAGTTATCTTTAGCTATAGAAAAATGCGGTTTGTACTCATTTTGTGTTTGAGCTATGGAGCCTTTTGAAAATGCTTTCGCTTATATACCTTTTCGCGTAGACTTCAGTGTAGTCCTCAGTATACAAGGCTAGGTCAAAAAATTATGACTCACTTTATCGTTTAAAATGAAAATATTTTTAGTTTCAATTGCATTTGAAAAAAAATATATTTTATAAAACAACCTCAAAAATTAGCAATTTCAATAGTTTATATTTTTAAATTATTACTTAGTGGCATGCAACATAAATTTTGAAAGTCTGAAAATGTGTCTGAAAAGAACAATTGCGAAACGACTTACCAACTACAGTTAGATTGTATTGAACGCTCCGAGTTTGGGCGTTTTTGAAGTCAACCCTGCACCTGTAAATGCCCTCGTCGTGCCTCCGCACGTCCTCGATAACTAATTGCGCTGGTTCCGAGATCGTCTGGAAATAGGCACGTGTCCCAAAAACTTCCGGGGCGGACCAGTGTCGCGCCTGAGATAATGGCTTTCCTCTGACGTCGAAACTGTAATTTAAAGCAAATTAATAAGATATTATTAACTATCACAATTTTTTACATTCCGTACCACTAATGACATTAATGTCAACACTAACCATTTCACCAATTTTGATTAGTGTTCCACTTTAAAAATGTGTCGTGTGATCTGAACTAGAATTTTTTTCTTATGCGACTTTCTTGGTTTTGATAAATTTGTCACAGATTTTTCAAAACCACATGGTACAGATTCAATATTAATTTCATTCATTCAAAACATTTAGTTTATATAAATTTTTCCGATTGCTCGGTCATTTTCAAATTTGCAAATGTCAAGTTGTGATATATTTGAAAAAAAAAAACAATAGAATGAGTACAAGGTTGCATTTAAAATAGTGAACTGGTCAAACCGAAGTGATGTATATATTTTTTGACATAAACGGATATTTACCTCAATCATACATGTAGTTAAAATTTTAGTGTCATCCGGTAAATACAATCATTTTCTATCAAGTATTTTATGCTCGGAAAATTAACAAAAACTCCAGTCGGCTGCGACTTATACTCATAGCGCCCGGTTCATACCCAGCTCGCTTAAATACTCCAGACCCTCCAGTTTCTAACCTATCAATGGACAGTGGTAAATAAGATTACCTCGGCCGTTAATGCAAAACTACATCTCAAAAGTTCGGTGCACTTTATTACAGTTTCGAGTGAGGTTCGCTGTACACACCAGGGACCTCTGACTATTGCTGTGCTATCACAGCTCTCGATGCAGCATTTTCATCAAAGCACTTCTTATATTCGCTCCTGACTTAAAAACTGTTTTGATGTTATGTTTTGATTTTTTCGCAATTCGCCTCATCTTTTCTGAGATACCTTTTTTAATAGAAATTATTATTAAGAGTAAAGCGTATGTCTTTGTCACGTGGGCGTACTATAGATTCTGTTTTATAACTACTTATAATGTATAACGACTCTGGCCCAAATGTCTTTTAGGATTCCAGCACCCTTACAGTGTAACTGTAAAGTGTCCCAGTACGTCATAGTTTGGAGGATATCCATAAGAACCTCCCTGTTCTAAAATACCAATTACGACGTCAGCTTATTTTGTTGTTGTTAATTCTGACGGTCTGATGTTACTAAGTGATCGTTTTCTTGCTATTTTGCCAAAAATTATGACTCTACCAATATCTTTTCGTTCAATGATTGTAAATCAGAATTCATTTTATTTAATTGTCCGTATGCTGTCTATTTTAGGTCACATTGTTGGTGAAAAATAAACAAATTTTTTCACGCATTGTGGAATTTTCGGAAACTATCACAAAATAGCTCTTACCATATAGCCACTACACATATAGAGGTTCTGTATATGTTGATAATACTTGACCTACCAACCAAATTGCGCAAAGTGCAACTTAGTGGATGAAACGTAGCGTGGAAGATGAATTTTTACCATAGTATATTACCTAATAGCTATATAGATTTAATCCATTGTCAAATTTTCTAAATATTCAATAGAATTTGTTGAAAATCTCATAGCTACCTAAAACCTGTTTTACCTGTTTTAGGGATTTAGGTACCTGTGCTCAATTTGTAACATGAAATTTTCATTATTTGTTTCCCCTGATAGAATCACTTGTTTTAGGCCCCCCTGTGTATTACAGAGTAACTAGGAATTTATGGATGATAAAAATCGGTATACAAAAACAAGCAGAAATTCACGGCAGACGCTTACGAACGCTTCAATTTTTAGTCAATCTGAAATCTAGCGTATCGCAGAATAAGGTAAGGATATTTCGTTTATGGTCGAGCGTGGTCATTCGACAGGGATAGTAGTCGGTGTGTACAAGAACCGTGCCTTGGATAGTTGGTTAGTTAGTGAAACGCGTGCCAAGTATGTTGTATAAGTTGCAGAGTAGTTGTGCCCGTTATGGAAATAATTGCAAAATGAGTCCCATTAATTTTCTAAATGAATAAATTCTTAGCACTATGTTCTGCTCCTGTGCCTTAGTATTCAAAACTAGAATTATGGTTACTTTCGGGTAGTCGTTGGCAAAATTCGTTCTCAGTTTTAATTGAAAAAAAATTTCTACCTTGGATAATGCCTAAAATGAAAAAGAAAATTTTTGAAGGTAAATTGTGGGAAGCTATTGATTTGTAGATCCCCTTATTATTTACTTGGACATCAAAGACTATAGTTTGTCTGACTGGAAAGATGAATAACTAAAAGTTACAAATATAAGTACTGTAAATAGTATATTATTTTGAACAATATTATTACACTTTAGGTATTTTTATATTTTTCTTACTTCTATCTAAGTTTTTATTTACCTCATAATAGAACGATTAACATATCCATCTTTATAATTATAATGATGAATAGTTATTATCGTATTTATTCTAATAAACTACCTACAGTAACGCCACTGTTACATTACTTTTATTCACCAAACTCGTCTTCCTAATGTATGCAAATAAGTGTGACCCTAATTTGCAAACAATTAGAATTGTGAAAAACTTAAAAACTGAAGTGCAGAATTTATGAGAAACTATCATTAGTATCACTACAATTTATCTGAACTCTTAGATATAACCTTTAAGTTGTCCACCCTGTTTAAGGATCCCTGTCATCGCAAATTTACATTTTATTACTCTCGCGCATTTAGCAACGAAATATAGCAGCAACTACTCCAAATAAGAGCTTAATAAATCTCGTCTTCGATTCGAAATATCGAGAAAGTTCGAGACGTATAAAGCACCCCCCTAACTTGTGTCTGTTTATTTTCGGTTATTTATCCGACAATGGGGCCCTCCTCTCCCAACATCCGTGATATTTGCACTGTACTCGACTCTCTATATATCTTGGAAGGACGCCGCCCGCCTTACGGATTTATACGAGTCGTCGACGGACTTCAGGGACATCCTTTGCAAATACCCTGAGTCCGCTGCGCGCTATTTTTGAAGGGCACTTCTTATTCCATACGCGATACCGAGATTTATAGTTATTGGATGTACTCATAGTTTCAGGTTCGATACGCGACTTTACGTAACTGCCCAAGTTTCGCGCTTTATTGGAAAAATGTTTCTCGGTTTGGCGAGTTTTTGACAAACTTCGAAGATGTACGGCCCGCGTATATGTAAATTGTTTGTTGGTTCGGCGACAATTTTAAAGTTCCGTAAGCTTCTACACTGTAGATGGCGAAGTTTGTTAGTTAAAGGATAATTAAAAATTATAATTCTCAACTTATTCCAAATAAGGTACATAAATAATATAAATAAATTATTTATATTATTTATTATACTACATAGACTAAGTGGCGATGTTTAACTAAATGTTCACTAAATTTTACTGTAAGGAACATCAAAATAATTAAAATATTTTGTACAAAAGTCAAAACCTATATTTTAGATAAGTCTTCCATGTTTGACTGGTATTGTTAGATTTTTTTTGTTGATAATTAGATAAATTATGATAATAAATAATAAAAACTGGTGCTTATGTTTTGAAATTGAAGTAATGTAATATATTCTAATATTTCACTATTACAATACACAATTTAGTAAAAAAAGGAGGTTTATATAAATGAATATATAGGCATGCTGGATTTAATATGTCCATGCATATATACATATGTCTATTAAATATAGATGTAGATGGTAATTTCCTAATACTGGACGCTAACTGCTTAAACAGTTTTGGCTCTTTCTAGAAGAAAAAGCTTTTGCATCTGGCTGTCTTGTGTTTTGGTATGACATAGTTCGACATACGGTGCATTAGGAAACTACAGGGGTTCAGATTATAAGGTGATCCTTAATGTTGTTTCCATTCTGAGAGGCAAGTCGTAAACTCATCTATTTTCTAAACGTGGCACCTTTTGAGATACAGAACAGAATCTTATGGATAGGAAGTTACCGCTCATAATTAATTTCGAAGGAAATAACGGTTATACACTTCGCTCTGACAATAACTTATTTTACAAAGTCGCCAACAAGTTCAAATTGTCATGTCATATAAAATCAAAAGCTTTCAGAATTATTTTATTACACCTGACTAAGTTGTTCAAGAGTAAGAATTTATCTATAACCTTTAAAACGAACAATACACTGAGTACTGCCTTTAAACTGTAGTTTATGTCTGAAGGAAGAAATCCATCAGGATTCATGAACATTTTAATTTGGTGAAAAAATATAAGGACACTGATGGGACCAAATGAAACTAAATCTGCTATCGCTACTCCTCTTTTGTCCACGGAGTATAACTTTTCTCCGAATAAAAATCTCCATAATTTATGAGTGCCTCTCCTAGAAATCAAGGCAAGGTCAAGAAAAGTTCTATCCGTGATTGAGTTAATGAGATTTTCACTTTTTGAACTGATATTGCTCAAAGTTTTGGATGATATTCTCTCAGCAGCAGATAAAGGGAAACATCGGCTTTGGTCTTATCAGATTATAGTAAAGATTTCGATACCTTCAATCATGCTATGATCTGTGCCAAGCTAAAATACTACGGGTTTAAATTTAAGACGATTCAATTGGTTCGTAATTATCTGGATCACAGATATCAGCTAGTTTCGATTGACAATATTAGATGGAAAGCCTTAGTAGTTGTCGGGGGGGGGGGGGGGGGGGTCCCTCGAGGCTCATTATTAGGACCTCTTTTTTTCAGGTACGCCGATGACATGCAAATACATATTTCTTTTTCCCGGTCTGAAGTAGTGGACGCTGCAAGGTGACTAAATAAGTGCTTGGAATCGGTCTTTAAATACTCAAATGATCACGGCTTGAAATTTAATCTGAATAAGTCTGCATTATATATTTTGGGCCGCCCAAAACTTGGATATCTTTATAAATAGGGTTAAAATTCCAGCTGTTGACGAATGTAAAAACTTGGGTACTGGTGGGTTTTAACGTAGGTCCACGTTATTTGCTGCGCTGATTCTTGTTCGATTGAGTGGACTGTATTTTTCGATAACTTTATTTTTTAACTTTTACAACTTAACAAACTTTTACAACTAACAAAAAAAGGA